AAAAAAAAAAAAAAAAAGCAAACAAAAATGGAGAACTAAAGATGGCAGGTTTCAATGTACCAATTCCTTATATTAGTAAGTTAAACATCAATAGAGACAGAGGAAAACATTAAATCACTGGACTATTATTATACAAGCAATCAAAACAATTCAAGTGCTCAAATTCATGATGATAAAAGAAATAAGCTTTAATATCAGTTGTTTCAAGTGTACTACTGTTGGTCTGATTTAGGATAATTTGCACACTGTGACACACAGGACCAAATTAGTGCTAAATTATAGTAAAATAAAAACGCCTAGAGGCAGTCAATTCACTGAAAATCAAAAGCTGAAACTGATTGATGTAAGAGATTAATCTGCTAAATTACTAATTTGCTGATTTACCATATTTAATCATTTAACACAAATGTTTGCATTTTCTAACAATTTACAATATTTAGATCATTTTTTATTTATTAAAAAATTTTTTTTAGAGACAGGGTCTTGATCTGTGTAGACCCTGCCATGAAGTGCAGTGGTGTGGTCATAGCTCACTGTAACCTCAAACTCCTAGGCTCAAGTGATCCTCCAACCTCAGCCTCCCAAGTAGCTGGGACTACGAGTTAATTTTTTACCTTTTTATTTTGGTAGAGATGGGGTCTCACTATATTGCCCAGGCTGGGCTTTAACTCTTGGCCTCAGGAGATCCTCCCTTCTGAGTCTCTCCCAAAGTGCTGGGATTACATGTGTGAGCCACCATGGCTAGCCATGAACAATTCATTTTAGAATAAGATGGGTTTGTAATGGCTTTTGAAAACGAATGCCAAACTTCTTGATTGGTTTTTATTTTGTCTTCACTGAAGTATTTTAAAAACTGCTCAATTTATCAAAAGCTGAGGTTTCTAGAGTGGTTTAGTCTTAAGGCTATATTAATACTTTGAATAGAAAGTATCTGGAATTTCATCATGAGTAGAACCCTAATTTTTTGGATGTATTTTAAAGTAAATTGTAAACATCGCTACATGTCCTCCTAAATACCGAAGCATGCATTTAATTTGAGTTCAATATTTGTTTATACATTTTTAAGATAAATGTACATATGATGAAATGCATAAATATTAAGTGTATAGTCAGTGAGTTTTATTTATTTATTTATTTATTTATTTATTTTTGAGACGGAGTTTCGCTCTTGTTACCCAGGCTGGAGTGCAATGGCGCGATCTCGGCTCACTGCAACCTCCGCCTCCTGGGTTCGGGCAATTCTCCTGCCTCAGCCTCCTGAGTAGCTGGGATTACAGGCACGCGCCACCATGCCCAGCTGATTTTTTTTTGTAGTTTTAGTAGAGACGGGGTTTCACCGTGTTCACCAGGATGGTCTCGATTTCTTGACCTCGTGATCTACCCGCGTCGGCCTTCCAAAGTGCTGGTATTACAGGCGTGAGCCACCGCGCCCAGCCTAGTCAGTGAGTTTTATAGTTCAAACTTCAATCAAGACCTGGAACCTTTCTATCACTTCAGGCATAGGAAAGTATGCTGTTTCTTGGTCAAATTCCATACCCCTATTCCAACTACTAGCATTCTAATTTTTTTTCCACCATAGATTGATTTTGCTTATTTTAGAGCTCCGTATAAACGCAAGAAGAAGTATGTACTTGCTTGTGTAAGACTTCTTTCACTCAGCATAATGACTCTGAGATTCATCCATGTTTTATTTATTTGTAATGTGTTCCTTTTTATTGGCGAGTAGTTTCATTTATACCACAGTGTGGTTTTCTCTTACTGATAAACACTTGAGCTGCTTACTGTATTTATTACAAATAAAGCATCTATGAAATTCTTGGATAAGTTTTTTTGTGGCTATTAAGAACAACATATTCAACTCTTTGTGTGGATATGTTTTCATTTTTCTTAGGTAAATACCCAGAAGGAAAATAGCAGGCTATGTGTCTGTTTAGTTTGATAAGAAATGCCAGTTCGGAAAAAGGCTTAGCTTATTTATTTTCAGCCATTGGTCTTTTCTCACATAATTCGTTATGGCTCTAAATTTTCTCTCTAAATACCACTTCATATGGCATCCCACCTATTTTGACATGTTGTATTTTTGTCATTCAGGTCTATGTTTTCTAACTGCCGTTATCATTTTTTCTTTGACGCAAAATTTAAATTTTTGAGTTTTTCTGATTTCCAGTTTTTAAGTTATTCTGAACCCAAACTTCAATTCTTTGTGGTCAGAGAATTTGGTTTGAATGATAGTAATTCCTTCAATTTTGTTGAGACTTGACTTTTGAGCTAGTAAGTTTTCATGAATACTCCAAGTGGGCTGAGTTTTTGGTCAATTTCCAAAAATGTTTTAAGCATGCTTCACTGTGGTACTGTTCAACATATATACAATAAACCAAGCTAACTATATTTTAGAGCATGGAATTTTCTTTAGTTAATATACTGGGAACAGAAAATAATTTTCCTAAATACCTTTCAGGGACCAACAGGTTCAGTAATTTACATTTATTCTTTGAGCTGGGACATTTATCATTTTCTTTTTGTGCAGGCACCATCCAACATTTACCATTTTTTTAAAAGACAGAATATAACAAAATAATATGCCAAATGAATACTGACCATTAAGTTTGTAAATTTAGATTGAACTGCATTCAAAAAACATTTTTTCTCCCATATTTAAATATTTATATACAACTTTCCAAATCTGCTTATAATTTAAACATTTATAAATGGAGGCTCTCCATGAGTGAGTAGGGTTCTTGCTTTCTCTCATCAAGTGCTACCTATCATCTCTAGTAATTAGATTTTTGCTAATTTAATAAGTAAAATTTGAATTGGAAGACACAGAAGAACTTTATACAAATACATATATATGTTGCATATGTATTTTTATACATTTATCCTGAAAAGTTTTTTCAGGATAGATGTATAAAAAGTGCATGGTAAAGAGGCAGACATATCAAAGAAAGAGAAATAGGTAAAAAAAGAAAACTAAAAGAGGAAAAGGCTATATATTTTGTTTCTGGCTTTTTTTTTTTTTTTTCTGAGATAGAAGGCAGGGAAGGCCTTCAAGTGATCTTCCCACCTCGGCTGGCGAATTAAAAAATTTTTTTAGAAACATGATCTTGATATGCTTCCCAAGCTGGTCTTGAACTCTTGGCCTCAAGTGATCTCCTGCCTCAGCCTCCCAAGTAAGCTGGGATTATAGGCAAGAGCCATCACACCTGGCTCTACACATCTTATTTTCTTACTTACATTATATGAAGATACCTGCTCAGCCAGTCTCTTATCTCTTCCTGATAATACATGTTCTTCATCTTTCTTATTTGATGACTTCCTTGCTTCTTGTGTTTCCTGAGGAATGAACACAGATAACACACTATTGAATCATAAAATTAAGATAAAATAAAAAATATTATTTTTACTCAGATTAAGTAACAAGAGACACAACCAAGCCAGGCTTGTGAAATCCCTTCTGATTAGAAATATTAACATACTTGGTCAGGCATAGTGGTTCATGCCTGTAATCCTAGCACTTTGGGAGGCCGAGGCAGGTAGATCACCTGAGGTCAGGAGTTCAAGACCAGCCTGGGCAACATGGTGAAACCTTGTCTCTACTGAAAATACAAAAATTAGCCAGGCATGGTGGCGGGTGCCTATAATCCCAGTGACTCAGGAAGCTGAGGCAGGAGAATTGCTTGAATCTGGGAGGCAGAGACTGCTGTGAGCTGAGATTGCAGCATTGCACTCTAGCCTGGGAGATGGAGTGAGACTCAGTTTCAAACAAACAAACACACAAACAAACAGAAAACCCTGAAATATTAACATATTTGATAAGGGATCAGTAACTGCTCTAGTCTATGATTTTCTTGAATACAAGGAAAAAAAAAATACCCCAATCAATCACCCTATTTATTGAACTTCTATATCTCACTAACAATGGTGAGATACAGAAGTGAAAATAAGGCTTAAAAATGAACACAGAGAACACACTACTGAATCATAAAATTATAAAATATCCTACATTACTGCTTTCAAAAATAATAAAATCAGCATGGAGGGAAAAAAAAACAGAGAAAAAGAAATAAAAGGTATATATTTTGAAAAAAAAAAAAGCATTTATTCACAGATCCTAGCACTCTGTAGCAAACTGTGGACTATGTAGCAAACTCCAAAGAATTTACCAAAAAAACTCCTGGAACTACTAAGGAAGTATAGCAAAGCTGCAGGATACAAGGTCAATATATACAAATACAGCAGCAAGAGGCCGGGTGTGGTAGTTCACGCCTGTAATCCTAGCACTTTGGGAGGCAGAGGCAGGTGGTCTGCCTGACCTCAGGAGTTTGAGACCACCCTGGGCAACATGTGAAAGCCTCTCTCTACTAAAATACAAAAAATTAGTTGAGCGTGGTGGCAAGTGCCTGTGGTCCCAGCTACTTGGGAGGCTGAGGCACAAGAACTGCTTGAAGCTGGGGGCTGAAGGTTGCAGTCAGCTGAGATGGCGCCACTGTACTCCAGCCTGGGTGACAGAGCAAGACTCTGTCTCAAAAAAAACCCAAAACATTATATACATATATAATATATATATGCAAGAAGAAACTGGCATTTAAAACAAAACTATCATTTATATTAGCACACACACACATGAAGTACCTAGTCTAACATATTTTAATTAGAAAAAATGTTAGAGTGATATTCTAGAGAATATGCTCCCAACCAGGAATGAGGAAGGCCCATATAAAAACTACTGAAAACCACTGGTCTCTAAGAATATATATATATATATATATGCACACATACACACATATTTTTGAGATGGAGTCTCCTCTGTTACCAGACTGGAGTGCAGTGGCACAGTCTCAGCTCACTGCAACCTCTGCCTCTCAGGTTCAAGTGATTCTCCTGCCTCAGCCTCCAGAGTAGCTGGGATTATGGGCGGCCACCACCACGCCCAGCTAATTTTTGTATTTTTCATAGAGATGGGGTTTCATCATGTTGGCCAGGATGGTCTCAATCTCTTGACCTCATAATCACTCTGCCTCAGACCCCCAAAGTGCTGGGATTACAGGGGTGAGCCACTGCAACGAGCCTCTAAGCACATTCTTATATTGCTTTTCTTTGCTTAGGAAAACTAAGGAGGCCTCATGGACTAAAACAACACTGTATTTAATAAAGCAAGTTAAAAACATAGAAATAGCTCATTTCTACATTTTCCTGGAAAATAGATGCTTTTGCTTATAAATATTAAAAGAAAAGTGATGTTATGGTATAATGGAGATAAAAACCTAAC